CTCATTGGTTGGTGGTGGACAGACAGACAGCATACATTTTTAGAGCAGGCAGAAGGAAATGAGCCACTTCCAGTGGGCAACCGTCTCATCCAGGCATAGACATCAAGATGGGACGGGCAAATGGCGCGTCCCGTCTGCCTCTCCGTCAACGGCTGAAGACGTCTACATCTGGAAGAGATTCAAGAGCTCACCCTTGCCCAACGCTCATACAAGGTCAGGCCCTTCTCCGTTGGCCAATGAAAGGCCGTGGCCAACCCTCTGTGACGTCTCTGAGGGTGCTTGGTCAACGCGCATCAGCGCCTCCGCAGGTTTCCTCCCCGAATGCTCCGAGCTGCTCTGGGCAAGGCCTTGCTCCCAAAATCTTTTACCCTGGAGCAGGACCCAGCTGTGTCCTCCGGCAGGACTCAACTTTGGCTCAGACCTGGCCTAGGGCGGATGATCCTCCTCTTCCAGCTGGATTGGCCGGAGTCCATGAGTTCAGCTCCGCCTTTGGAAGAAGCCTGGATTCCAAACCAAGCTGGGGTGAAAACCTCGCAGTGCCCAACACTTGGACCTTACGGATTAAAGGTTTCGAAGAAGCTCCCACCACCAGCCTGGAGCTCTGCTGGAAGGTGAGGGGGTTGGACACCGTGGTCTTCACCTTCCACTACATCTCACCACACTTCGGGAGCGCGAAGAAGCCTCTTGAACCCCTGCTTGCCCCGAGCCACCTCTGAAGCCCCCAATCCCGTCCCTTGCCCCGCCGTGCGGTGGCCAACGGGTCACTCCTGACAATAAACCACCCGAGACTCTCCAGAGCCTTTGATTTCTTCTTCTTCCCGCTGGTGGAAGCCCTCCTGGTCCTTTCGGATGACGCCCTGGGATCTCTTCTTCCCCCGTACCCCCCAAAAAATGGTGGGGGGGGAAATTAAGGTGGACCCACTGCATGATCCCACGGTGGGAGATGCTGGCATCTCCCACCCACGCGCAACATCTCAAGGGCTTTGGGGGTTCCTCTTCTGGCAGGTTCCTCGGGCCAAACCCCCCTTCGTTCTCGCCCTTGCAACCCACGGTTGGCGTCGGGTGGGCAGTCGAAGGACCTG